ACTTCGAGGGAGAACGACGTCAACCGCGCGCTGAGCAAGGCCGCCGGGATCGAGGATCTGGTGATTGACCTGTCTACCTTTCCACCTTTCTTGTGTTAGATGCTATATTGCGGTTGTTTTTGACGAACCGAACAAGTGTCATCAGAAAGCTTCCGCCGTTAGTCGTATATATCGAGAGAGCGTGAACGGCAGGTGTTTGGTTCACACAAGTACACAACGACGCTTTTTCGTTTCTTTCGGATAACGTTGTGAACGATAGTGTTTTAGTTTGTTCCGTGTGGCATCGTATTGGCTTGAAATGTTGGGGTACTGCGAGGGGAAGCCCATGTACGTCACGGAGGTAAATTGATTCATGGACGAAAGGTCGTGTTGCATGATGAGGCGTTGTTTCAATTTTCCAGCAACACCACCGCACCGCCGTAACCCTTATACCCACCACCACAACCAACACCGGTAACCGCCATCCCCATCGTAGTACAACAAAAATGATGGCGACGAACTACTGTTCCAGGTGATCATCCCCGGAGAGAAGTCGTACTTCGACACCGGGCTGCCGGACGCCTGCTGCGAGGTGGTGACCTCCCAGGACGCGCTCCTGCACGCGGGGTCGGAGCGGCACAGGGCGGTCGGCGAGGCCGCCCGCTTGCTCAAGCCAGGGGGCAGGATGGTCTTCAACGACGTCATGCAGACGAACCACGCCGACCCCAAGGACCTTAAGGACGTGAGTGCCAGTTTTGGCGTGGCGGTTGGGTTGCCAGTTCTACTTGTTCTTTCTTCCGTGTTGCGTGTTTTTCGCAAGCGCCGTGGCGGGCTCTGCACGAGCTTTGCTTAGGCAGGACCCCCCTTCACCACGTGTGTGTTGTGTGTGTCGTGGCAGCAACAGGACCAGACTCGCTGAACAACAGGTTTCCGTACCTCACCACGACTTTAGTACTCGCCGACGTCGTTCGTTTCTGAATTTCTGTTCTGATCAACAGAAAACGTTGAAGAGGACGTACATGTTTTTATATGAGTGTGTTTTTCCCCCAACCAAAACTTGAAAGTTGAAGCTGCCTGTATTTGGAGGATTGTTTGCAGCCAGTCTTCTCATCCCCTACCTGTCACTGTTGGTGGTTCAACCGTGGCTGCTGGCTGGCTACTGGCTCTATAATATTGTACCGCATCAATCAATCAATCAACAAGCTTTGTTTGTATGGAATATTTTAACACACATATACTGTGCCTAGTGCACACGGAGAACAGCAGTAATAGTACTAGTCGTGCTTCAAGCTGTTAGAAGCACCTGCGCACAAAACTGGTCTTCTCTCCTCTCCTCTCCTCTTCTCTTCCACAGGTGTACGAACGCGTCCGCCTTCAGGACCTGGGTACGCCTAAGTCTTACGCCAAGTGGGCCGAATCTTACGGTCTCACGTTCGTGGAGTTCTCCGACCGTACTCCCGACATGAAGACGCACTACGAATCCGTGAGTTCTTTTACGTGGATGGTTGGTTGCATGCGTAGCGTGGTGCGGAGGTAATGTAAAGACCGTTTCCGTTTCATGATCTCCCGAACGTGTCTCGAGGACGATTGTTGACCCCATCTTGTCACAGAACCGAGGGCAGCTGCATCACTGTCTTGAGGTTTCAGTTTAAGGTGGTTCACTTCGACAGTTTAGTTGGTTCACTTCGTTGGTGGTGATCGAAAGCGATTTTCGCTCAAACACCGTTTCGGTTGGTTCACCGATATGGTTGTCTCTTCGACAGGTAGGTTTGCGACGGTTTCAATTCAAGGCAGATGGACAGAACATCGCGGCGTTGGCGGTAAGCATCGTGTGCATGTTCCAGTAAGTTAACACTGGTTGATGGCTGCTTCCTTTTTGTCTTCAGGTTAAGGAAGTGCTGATGTCGCACCGCGGTACCTCGGATGGCATGGAGGATGAGTTCATCGACAACATGGCCAGGGGACTCGACGCTTGGGTTTCGGCGGCCGAGCGCGGCCTCATCTGCTGGGGGTACGTGACCTTCGCCAAGCCGGTGAGTTGGGTGTTTGATGTTGTTGTTGTTGTTGTTGTTGTTGTTGTTGCTATTGTTGTTGGTGCAGAATTGCGGAGTGGGTATTTTTATTATTATGAACACCGCCTCTCGTCCTACGATCCCGTTAGGCAAGCAAGAAGCGCCTCCGCCTCTGTCACCCAGAGGGAGAAACGAAAACTGGAAGTCGGCGCTTCAAAACGTCAAGGGAAGAAACACGCACACAACAGTCAACAGGCCCCCAGATACAACATCAAACCATGTAATATACCCGAAGTCAATGTTTGAACCAGTCAGTATGAGTAAAAGAGAGCCAAGTAGAATACCCTTGACAGACTTGATTTTGGGATGTAATGCTTCATGCAGATACATTGTGTGTTGCCACCTGAGTTCTGTTTGTGTTCGTCCCATTTGTTGCTGCGCCGGTTTTCAGGCCTATTCGGCGTACATACCTGACGTATCAGCTGGGTCACTCAAGCGGAAGTTCACACAGAAGCTTCATTTATGTCTTTCATTTTTTGAGATGATGGTACACGTACTCTGCTGGGGCTCGCACAACACTCTGGGAAGGTTCGATCGTGTGGCCGCACTCAGTCCGAGGGATAACGTTGTCGCACCCCGTCACTATCACAATCGCAACCACACCACTTTGTTACCACACGCTGTAGGTGGGGTCCTGTGAGTGCAGCTCATCATACATGGGCCACACAAGATATCAGACTCCCTACACAATACCATACCTTGTGACATTTTGCTTGATGCAAACCGATAGTTATCACGCGGGCGTGGTACGTTATGTCGCCTACGGGAGGATTTTGCGTTTTTTTTTGTTCGCAAATCACAGTGGTTGAGTTTCTTCAACCGCCAGTTTGTTGATGGTATGTAGTCGGTACTGCTGTTACGGCTTCCGTCGACATTGGTGCCATATTTCATCAGCGACACGAAACCATGCTCTTACGGCTGTTCAGGAAAAGGCCTCGAGCGACGATAACGCGACAGACGCCATATCGGCTACAGCTAAGGGGTGGTACAACTCGGACAACGCCTTCAACTTCTACTTCAAGGTGCAGGGTCTGTGTATGTGCCTTTCCAGTACTCTCAATGTTGCCGGTTGGCGAATTCTAGATTGGCGAGTTCTAGAATGATGGAAGCTTGTGTCCTGTCGGCGGGAGAGAATTCTTTGTCACGCCCCCCCCCCCTCCGAGAATTGGGCCGACCAAGCACATGCTCAGTAGCGTCCGCCTACTTCTTCGGCTGGGACAACAGGCAGGCAGAGCATGCGTGCCTCTTGCCCTTCAATGGAGCTATGACACATGTGTACTGCGGGGGAGTCTGCTTTCCGATGTAAATATCCTCATGTTTGCTTTACCAGAGTGAACATGACTAAAGAGAATGCGGTTTCCCTGTGTAGGTGCGCGCGTGCGTGTGCGGGGGGGTGTACTCATAGTCGTCCATGCCGTAGTCGTTAGACCATTGGCCTCGCATCCCTACAAAGCCAGGACGGAGCACGCCGGGTTCTCACCGGACCAGGCTCTTCACCAAGCGCGAAACGCCGTGAGATATTCGGCGAGTCGCATGCAGGGTGCGCTGCATCCTGCTAAATGTGTTCGGCATCTTGTGCACTCCCTTGCGTACGGATGACAGCTGCGTATAACTTAATTTATTTTCTGGTGCTCACTTCCAGAGACAGTTGTTTGCACCGTGTAACTGCCTCGAGGGTGCTTGACCAATTCAACACAACGTGGTACGATCATCCCCCTTGCGCGGAGTGAGGCTTTTCCACCCCGCACAACATGATCCACTCGACCACCACTATGGTTACCGCCAAAAAATAAAAACAGAGGTAAAAAAGNTCCCCCTTGCACGGAGTGAGGCTTCTCCACCCCGCACAACATGATCCACTCGACCACCGTTATGGTCACCGCAAAATAAAAACAGAGGTAAAAAAGAATAACGGTAACCTGGTTGCCGAGCTCACGAAGTGAATTGACTTGTTTTACAACGTCGTTGCCAAGGGACGAAAACCCAACCCCGATGGCAAACGCCGGGGGGCGGGGGGCGTGTACTCATGGTCGTGCATGCCGTGGTCGTTAGACATTTGACCTCGCATCCCTACAAAGCCGGGACGGAGCACGCCGGGGTCTCACCGGACCAGGCTCTCACATCACCAAGCGCAAAGCGCCGTGAGGTGTTCGGCGAGTCGCATGAAGGGTGCGCTGCATCCTGCTAAGTGTGTTCGGCACCTTGTGCTTACTTCCTTGCGTACGGATGACAGCTGCGTATAACTTAATTTATTTTCTGGTGCTCACTTCCAGAGACAGTTGTTTGCACCGTGTAACTGCCTCGAGGGTGCTTGACCAATTCAACACAACGTGGNCATCACCAAGCGCGAAACGCCGTGAGATATTCGGCGAGTCGCATGCAGGGTGCGCTGCATCCTGCTAAGGGTGTTCGGCATCTTGTGCTTACTTCCTTGCGTACGGATGACAGCTGCGTATGACTTAATTTACTTTCTGGTGCTTTCACTTCCAGAGACAGTTGTAAGCACTGTGTAACTGCCTCGAGGGTGCTTGACCATTTTAACACAACGTGGTGCGATCATCCCCCTTGCGCGGAGTGAGGGTTCTCCACCCCGCACAACATGATCTACTCGACCACCATTATGGTTACCGCCAAAAAAAAAAACGGAGGTAAAAAAAAAAAACGGTAACCTGGTTGCCGAGTTCACGAAGTGAATTGGCTTGTTTTACAACGTCGTTGCCAAGCGACGAAAACCCAACCCCGATGGCAAACACCGGGGGGGGCGGCTTGTTTTACAACGTCGTTGCCAAGCGACGAAAACCCAACCCCAATGGTAAACACCGGGAGGGGGGGCGTGTAGGAACAAGAAGGAAATTCCGTTACACCGGTGTACCCTTTCCTGTCGCGTTTGTGCTTCTGCCCCCCGCCCCCCCACCGCCAGGGCAGTCATTTTGCACTCACGAAGTAGCTCCGTTGAACCCAGCACTAACCCTAACCCTAACCCTAACCCGGGCACGTTGCGTCAATGTCTTCTCATCATACACACCCCTCCCGCGTATGTGCCTTCTCCGTTCCCGTAATATCGACGCCCCCTCCCGATTCCCGACCAAAGGTGTGGGGCGGAGAGCACATCCACGTCGGCCTGTACAGCAAGCTCAACGCGGAAGAAGCCAAGCTGCCCGTGCTGGACCGCATCGAGAAGGCCAGCATCCTGAACGCCGAGGAGCTGCTCGCCCGTTGCTTCCCCGCCAGCGCTAACGGAACTAACGGCACTAACGGCAACGGCGCCCCTCCCACATCGGAGAGCACCATGGTGGACATGGGCTCCGGATACGGGGGCTCGGCCAGGCTTGCAGCCAAGACGCTCGGCTGCAAGGCGAGTCTCTCTCTGTATTTCCTTCCCTCCTCCGGCACACTGCATGTTGTTCGTCCGCTTGTTTTTTCATCCATCCATCCTGTTTTTGTACGTCGATGGTCGACTGTACCTCCTGGCCTTACCTGCGTGGCTGCCTGTCTGCCTGCCTACGATGTCGGGGGCTCACGCTGACAAGGTTGGTTGTCCGCGGTGCAATGTATGACTCGTGTGTGGTTGTCAAGGCTTTGCGGAAAGATCGTCCACCGATGATGTGTCGAAAAAGAACAACGCGACGATGGCTTTCAGTCGTTGTGATTATTCTTTTTTGCGAAGATGGTGGAAGCACGGCGTGCACTGTGCTCGCACTGTTGCCGTAGCCCGCCTGTCTGTCCCGTCTTGCCCTTCATCGACCTGCCTCGTCCGTACACATTACTAATGCAGATGCATATGAATCCATATCTCGTCCCTACCGCTCTGAACAAAGTTGACTGGCGCTCAGAAAAGCTGATTACGCAGAGAGAGAAGTTTCCGCTACAAGATCGTCTCCCACCCACCCACATGTGGCAGCTACGCGAGACCGCGGTAAACAACTCAGTGGTTGAAATCGAAACATCGCGCCCCAGCCATTGCGGAGAAGTTGAGGCCACCAACCTGTCGATCGCACACACGCTACATGCGGTTGCGGGCAATCAAGCAAAGCGCGGTCATCCGAATTGTAGGATGACACCAGTTGTGTTCGTTCGAATCGGGTCACGAGCAACGCGATTTTTCTCAAGCACCATGCGGCTGGCAAATTGACCGTTCATGAACGCGACAACCAGCGAGCACGCACATGAAAGTACGCCAATGGGCTCGAAGTGGATGTAATGTAGTAAGTACACAAGTATTGGATTCGGGCAATCGAACGACCGGAGCCACGTGTGGGAACTCATGTATCCTCCCCCCCCCCTTCCCCCTCCCTTTCTACAGGTGTATTGCATCAACGTCACTTCGAGGGAGAACGACGTCAACCGCGCGCTGAGCAAGGCCGCCGGGATCGAGAATCTGGTGATTGACCTGCCTACCTTTCCACCCTTATGTTTGGGATAAAGTTACTTGTGTTCGGGTTAATATTGCGGTAGCTTTTGACGAACCGAAGAAGTTGTGCATATGTTGTGTCATCAGAGAGAGTACACAACGGCGTTTGTTCTTTTCTTTCGGCAACGTTGTGAAGGATGGCGTTTCACTTTCTTCCGTGTTGCATCGCATCATGAGATGTTGTAATATTGAACCAGCAACACAACCACACCGCCATCCCTACCGAACAAACCCGGAAATGTTGACAACGAACTACCACTGCACCAGGTGATCATCCCCGGAGAGAAGTCGTACTTCGACACCGGGCTGCCGGACGCCTGCTGCGAGGTGGTGACCTCCCAGGACGCGCTTCTGCACGCGGGGTCGGAACGGCACAGGGCGGTCGGCGAGGCCGCCCGCTTGCTCAAGCCAGGGGGCAGGATGGTCTTCAATGACGTCATGCAGACGAACAACGCCGACCCCAAGGACCTTCAGGAGGTGAGGTCTTGTTTTGGATTGGCGGTTGGGTTGCCAGTGCTACTTATTGTTCGTTCCGTGTTGCATGTCTTTCACAAACGCCGTGGCGGGCTCTGCACGAGCTTTGCGTAGGCAGCACCCCCCCTCCACCAAGAAGCCGTACCGCATTATTTAGTTTGATAGTACTTCCATTGTTTTTCCCAAACATCACACCTGAAGTTGCATGGATTTCGAGGACTGTTGGCGGCCAGCTCCCTCATTACTCCACCTGTCATCGTCGGTGGTTCACTGCATTCTTGGCTGCTGGCTCTCCTATATTGTACCGCATCAATCACCAAGCTTTGTTTGTCTGGAATGTTTTGACACGCATGCACTGTTCCTGTTGTACACGGAGAACAGCAGTGTTAGTACAAGTCGTGCTACAGCTGCTAGAAGTACCCGCTAACAAATCTCGTGTTCTCTTCTCTCCTCTTTTCTCTTCTCATCTCTTTTCTTCTGCAGGTGTACGAACGCGTCCGCCTGCAGGACCTGGGCACGCCCAAGTCTTACGCCAAGTGGGCCGCGTCTTACGGCCTCACGTTCGTGGAGTTCTCCGACCGTACTCCCGACATGAAGACGCACTACGAATCCGTGAGTTCTTTTACGTGGTTGGTTGGTTGCATGTGTAGCGTAATACGAAGGTAAACCTAAAGAACGTTCAGTGTCATAACTCAATCGTTGACCTCCCTTAATTTGCAAAACCAAGGGGCGAACTTCATCACTCTCTTGACAATGAAGTTTTTGGGTAGTTCACTTCGACAATTTGGTTGGCTCACTTCGTTGGTGCTGGTCGAAAACGATTTTCGCTCAAGCACCGTGCGTGTGTCTGGTTGACCAATATGGTTGTCTCTTGGACAGGTAGGTTTGCGACGGTTTCAATTCAAGGCAGATGGACAGAACATCGCGGCGTTGGCGTTAAGCATCGTGTGCAGATTCAGTAACACTGGTTGGTGATTATTTCCTTTTTTTCAGGTGAAGGAAGTGCTGATGTCGCACCGCGGTACGTCGGATGGCATGGAGGATGAGTTCATTGACAACATGGCGAGGGGACTCGACGCTTGGGTTTCGGCGGCCGAGCGCGACCTCATCTGCTGGGGGTACGTGACCTTCGCCAAGCCGGTGAGTCGGGTGATGTTGTTGTTGTTGTTGTTGCTGCTGCTGCTGCTGCTGTTGCTACTTGTTTGGTGTTTTTGGTGAAGTGGTGGCGAGGGTAGTTAGTTGCGGGATGAGTGTTTTTGTGTTTTGCGACCGCAAACAAAAGCCAGCGTCGAAGTCCCTCTGTGTACAAGGAAATCTGCAGACGACGCCTACCGAACGTTGTCTACCTCACCCTCAGCCACAGCAAGGCACAGTACTTGGTACTCCAGGACCCGTGTACCCGACAACGCATCCTTGGTCACGATTGCTGTTGAAATTGAAAGGTACAATATATTTTTGGGGGTCCTGGACAAACGCGGCGGTGACACCTGCACCCCTACCGCCCATCCCCACCCCCCCGCGCCGCTATGAACACACCTTCCCGTTCTATGATCCCCTATCAACGCCACAACCACCTGAGGTCTTGTTTTCGCCTACGTCTGCTGCTCGCCTGGTTTCTATCTCTTGTTGCTGCCGCTGTTAACATCCCCCCTCTTCTGTTGCTGTTGGTGATTGTCGCGTTTTTTTTTTGCGTGTGTACGTTTCACGGACGGGGGGTTGTGCAGAACGAGCAGGCAGCCGAACATTGAGTTGATCGGGTTTGACCGCACATCCGAGAAAACCCGCGTCACTCTGCCCCCTCATGCTGCCGATTTATTTCATATCCTAAGTTTAAGTTTTGTCTGGTCACTTTTTGGTTTAGTTGCGTTGGAAGGTTAACAGCTATGACGTCCACAGACGGGCAGAGGGAATTAGTGCATCGGTCCTTCTGGAGTTTTCTTTCGCGGACGGGGGGTTGTGTAAAACGAGCAGGCAGTCGAACATTGAGTTGATCGGGTTTGACCGCAAATCCGAGAACACCCGCGTCACTTTGCCCCCTCATGCTGCCGCTTTCATTCATATTTTCGCCCAAAGTTTCGGTTTTGTCTTTTTCAGTTTTTGGTTTAGTTGCGTTGAACAAGGTTAACAGCTATGTTTGACGTCCACAGACGGGCAGAGGGAATTAGTGCATAGGTCTTTCTGGAGTTTTGTTCGACCCAAGTTGGGTGATTTTTCTCCTGTTTTCTCTTGCAACGACCGAAGAACAATGAGAAACGAGGGTGGGGGGGGTTATACACATATACATAGGTTTACATACTGTACCTTTATACGTCGTATACATGTTTGCCTGTGTTTTCAACACAGAAAATCGAAAGTCACTTTGTATGGTTCGTGGATGTTGGTCGTAGGGATCATGCATCTAGTGCAAACCTTTGGCTCGTGGTGTCAGGCCTCCATGTTGATTAAGCCTTGTACATGGCAGGAAAACGAGAGAGAAGAGTCGTGTTGATCGTGGCGGCTGCTCGTTGTGATTTGCGAGACTCCGTAGGTTTATTCTTTGCTCGGCTTCCGAGCGCGTTGAGCAAGGAGGTGTCCTTACCTTTCTGATTTAACCGTTCAGTTGTACATATCCTTCTGTAGGTGTTGCAGCTTGCTCTGTTGGGTCCTTGTAGGATATTCACGGTTACGTTGTTTTTCAGCACCGAAGAGTAGGGAAGACGAGACACAGTAGAAACAGATCACGGGAACATGGCAACAACATGATCCCTAGTCTGTTTCACCTCTTTTCGGTGGTTTGCGTTAGTTTCTCTTTGGCCACTAGTGGAAGCGGAACCACTTTTGGTACATTGACTGGTCTGTTGTTAAGGGTGTCGTTTACCTCTTGGACACGAGGCGATTGCATCTTTTCACGCAGAGGCAGGAACACACCCGTGTTCTCACAACGGAGTGTAGTGCTTTTGGCGGCGCAAGGAATGCCTAGATCGAGATCGAGGGTAGCAAGGTATTTACCATGGAGGTTGTTTTGTCTTTTGACCTGAAGGCCGGCAGATGTCTCGTGCACGTTGTTGAAGTATGTTGATACAGGCGTGTGTGCGTCACACGAGACCCTCGTAGGCCACACGGCGGAATGTGAGCGCGGGTGCTCTTACACTTCCTGCTGTTGATTGAGAATAGGCTTTTGAATGTTGGTGTATACGTATTGGTGGCAAGAAAATAAGTTATATAATTCTGAGTTGCATTGCAGAGCGCGCGGAGGAAATGCTATTGATGGCTGTTGATGAGAAGTCAGGCTTTTGTATATTGGTATATATAATGGGGTGGGGAGAAAACACTTAAATTGGATGTTGGTAAATGTAATGGGGTGGGGAGAAAACACGTAAATTGGACGTTGGTATATATAACGGGGTGGGGAGAAAACACGTATATGATGCTGAGTTTCATTACAGAGAGCGCGAAGGAAAAACACGTGGGGTCATTGCTGCTGGTGGTTTGGCGTTTGCCCCGGCAGGTGCATCACATTTCGTTTCGATGGCATTGACTGCGAGGAGTGTTTCTTCGGGTCCAGTGACTTCGAGGAGTGGTCGTTCGGGTCCAACAGGTTGCGCACCGGCTATGAGTGTGTGATGCTTTCGTTGTTGAAAACGTTGTTTGAAGGGTTATGTTCGAAGACCGTACCGGATTGTGGACTGGCGGGGGGATAGACGCTGCATGTGATAAGATTCATGTGATAAGATTCATCTTTTCGTTGTAAGCAAGATCTCATTTGTGGGGAAATCGGGAAGACGGTAACGAGTTTTGGGTGGGAGGGGGTGATCAGCGGCCCCCTTTTTATCGGTCGTGTCATGGTCAGGGGTTCGGTTGGTGGCCCTTGCTAACGCTGGGCGGCAGGCACATGCCCTGCATTCTTGGGTTGTTTTGCGGCGGGCGGGGGACAAGGCGGACGTGTTGTTCGTTTTGCCGCTGGCATCCAGGACCCCAAGATGGTACCCGTATGTGAGTATGAGATTCCAGTTTTGGTGCCCACTTTTGGTCAAATGATCCGATTTGTTTTTGTGAACAATTGAGCGAGTGGAACACAGGGGGCGGGGTGTGAAATGTACGTTGGGGCGCGCCTCGACGTTCAGAACGGAAGGGAAATTGAAAGGTGCAAGTTATGGAAACGGAAGGTCGCATGTATGTGAGTATCGTGAAGAAGAAAAGAGGTATGAGAAAGAGGGACGGGGGACACATAAGTCTAGAGAGCGACACGAAGGGCACAAGAAGCGGTTGGAGCAGTTTTTTGGTGTTTTTATTGCGATAGAGACGAGCAAGAGGAGGAGTACAGAGTACAGAGTACAGAGTTCAGCCAAGGTGTGCAAGCATAGAGAGGGGACGGGTGGGGACGTAAGGGGAGATTGTCACTCGGACAGGGAAAAATGTTCGGATATGTTCCGACATGGAACGACCAAACATGGTGTGTCAAAACGGCCGTTCGTGTACAGATTAGGTTCGCCCGCCTCCCTTGGCAGCATCAGTGGTGCGGCACCGTTGTCAGTTGCGTTACGACGCTTTTCATTTGGGTTGTTTGGCTGTGGTGAAACCTTCGCGGGGGGGTAAATTACGTCGGTGCTGCTTGATTTGACATGTCCCCGGCTAACATGCTGAGTGAGGTTCACCGCGGACAAGAAAAGCTTCTGTCCGTGTGGCCCCCTCCCTCCCCCCCGATCAGAGACCGCCTCCGTAGATATGCTAGAGGTGATCGTCGATCTAGTTGGTGACCTACTCGAGCTAGATGTTCCACAAGCACGGACTCTAGGCTTTTACCATTGCAAGTAGTCCATAACTTGCGTGCGTAGATTTGTAGGTACCACTGTTTCCTAGACTTGCATGAAAGAATGAGCCGAGTATTCGGATGCCTCTCACAAGCGGAACTTGGACGTTGTTCAGTTGTTGAAGCTGCCTTCTGTTCAACCTCACGCCAGTGCGAGTTAATGACGCATGTACGCGTGTCCACAGTACGTGTTGTGCCCACGTGGCAAGTTCGAGAACATTATGTTGGGAGTCTTGTTTTTAGTATCTACCTTTTTTGCTTACCAGTGAGATATTCTGAACGCGGTTGACTGGTTGACGTTGCTTGGATTGTGTGATTCCATAATTCATTTCTCGACGATGAGAGTGCTCGCACCCCATTCTCTAGGTCGGTGCAGTCTTTCTGGTCTCCACTGATCAAGTAGTCTAACTATTTTACAAGTATATGTCCACCAAGGCCTCTCCTTCGGACCTGCTGCTGTGTGCTTCAGAGCCAGGCCCATCGTTCCAAAGGATACATCGAAAGAAAATTGAGTTCATCCGCCGCGCTGCGGCAGGTCACGTACGTACGGCTTGACCTTGGACCCTAGTGGTTCTGCCGTTGGCCCGTGACTGAAAGATCGATCGCGCAATCGAGGTGCTTTGCGTATCAAGCAGATTACAGTTCATTTCTAGGAATGTGGCAGGACGACAGTTGAAGGACAAGACACTAGGTAGAAACACAGAAATTCCGATCCGTGTAGGATTGGTTTCAGCTACGAAACCTGAACAGAAATCTTGATTGACCGGAGCTTTTCGACCGCGGCTGACTTTTCTCGGCTCGCAAACATTACCACCACGACATTGCGCAACAGATGTCTCGAGGGCCCTGTGGAAGGAATTCCAATCAAAGCGACACCGGTGCCAAACCGAAGCATTTTGTCTTGCTCGAAATCCATCCATTTCCCTTGACTGGAATGCTATTTGCTCCACCGGTGGAGTAACTTCTTTTTGCTCCTCCAGGCAGATCTGCGTCCTCGAAGCTCCAATCGACCTCAAACAAATTTCATAGTCTAGCTATCGACTAACCCTAATCCTATCTGAAATGCTACTGGGAAGCTAAATCTTACCAGTGCCTACAGATATGTGCTACAGAAGGGGGCCGTTCGTGAACAGATTAGGTTCGGTCGCCTCCCTTGGCAGCACCAGTGGTGCGGCACCGTTGTCAGTTGCGTCCTGGCGCTTTTCATTTGGGTTGTTTGGCTGTGGTAAAACCTTCGGGGGGGGCAAATTACGTCGGTGCTTCTCGATTTGACATGTCTCAGGCTAACAAGCTGAGCGAAGTTCACCGCGGACAAGAAAATCTTCTATCCGTGTGCCCCCCGCCCTCCCCCCGATCAGAGACTGCCTCCGTAGATATGCTAGAGGTGATCGTCGATCTAGTGTTGACCTTCTCGAGCTAGATGTTCCACAAGCACGGGCTCTATGCTTTTACCATTGCAAGTAGTCCGTAACATGCGTGCGTAGATTTGTAGGTACCACTGTTTCCCAGACTTGCATGCAAGAATGAGCCGAGTATTCGGATGCCTCTCACAAGAGAAATTTGAACGTTGTTCAGTTGTTGAAGCTGCCTTCTGTTCAACCTCACGCCAGTGCGAGTAAATGACGCATGTACGCTTCCACCGTACGTGTTGTGCCCACGTGGCAAGTTCGAGAACAATGTGTTGGGAGTCTTGTTTTTAGTATCTACCTTTGCTTACCAGTGAGATATTCTGAACACGGTTGACTGGTTGACGTTGCTTGATTGTGTGATTCCATAATTCATTCCTCGACGATGAGAGTGCTCGCACCCCATTCTCTAAGTCGGTGCAATCTTTCTGGTCTCCACTGATCAAGTAGTCTAACTATTTTACTACAAGTATATGTCCACCACGGTCTCTCCTTCGGACCTGCTGCTGTGTGATTCAGAGCCAGGCCCATCGTTCCAAAGGATACATCGAAAGAAAATTGAGTTCATCCGCCGCGCTGCGGCAGGTCACGTACGTACAGCTTGACCTTGGACCCTAGTGGTTCTGCCGTTGGCCCTGTCCGTGAGGTGGATTATGTCATCGTTACGAACGCTACTTCGGTAGTACTCATGTATGGTTTGAGAGCGAGACGTGTGCAAGTGACCGTTCCACGGGCGTAGATCTTCGGGGTATCTCCCGACATGTCTTTGGTAGTTGGAATTGTTCCGTGTTGCAGAAAGTCTGCGCGTCTTTTCGTCGGTGAATTTCTTGCGACTGTTGCTTGATGCTTGTGGCGCACGTGGCGCCCACTCTCTCCTGTTGCCTGTCCACGAGGGCAACCTAATATAACGACTTTACCATCTCTTCATCCCGGTCAACCTGGTCAGCCGTGCTTATTGAGCAGTACTAGGCTTGGAACCAATCAACACTCTAGAGCCGAAGGTTAACCCCATATTCCCCTGGTGAAGCGGACACATGTCGGCTGGATCTGGAGATGATGGCAAGGGCAAGGCAGCCCCGACTCACGAGGAGCTCAGGACTGCCGTCGACGAGGCCACCGCCAGAATGGAGAGTTATGTTGACCGAGAAGTTAGGGACCGTCATGGAAGCCCTGTCTCGGTTAGTGCCCGAGACACCGCCTGCCGAAAGTACGACCGGAGCGGGCGGCGGGGGAGAGTCACGGGGGGGAAGGCACGCCCCTCCCGGCGCTGGTCGTGTGGATCAAGCGCCGACCACCGGACAGGGGCTCGAGGGAGCACGAGGACTGCCGGACACAGCCCCGCAAGGACCCACGCTGCCGTCTGTGGGGGATGTCTCGCACGATAGCGCAACCAGTGACCCGCTGGCACGGTACGACCCAACCATGAATGCCCGGATCCCGCGCCTCAAGCAGCTAAACTTCTGTAAACTTCGATGGCCAAGAAAAGAACTGGCTAATGTTGAAGAACGACTTCACGACGCGGGTGCAACGTGCGGAATGATGCATGCTCTGAACGATAGCCGAGACATTGAGGTCAAAGGGGAAGGTTGACGGGCGAGTGCAACATGCGTTCGTAGCAGTCGGGGAGGGGTCTAGGAGGAGGCGACGGTTGAGGAAGAAAAACGGAGGGGATGAACAGGCATGCGTAGCGAGTGATGGTGACGACGAAAAAAAGTCTGTCCGCTGCCACATCTGCTCCGCAAACCACTATGCCCACGAGTGCCCTCAACAGGTCTGCCAGAGATGCGGAGGAAGAGGGCACCATGTGAAAAAAGGCGCATCGAAAGTGGCAAGTGAAGTTGCCGTGGCCGCGATGGAAGTAGAAGAGTTGGACGTCGCGTACGAAGCGCTTTAAATATTCCGGCGTGTTGCTTTGCCGTCTATCAAAACTGTCTTTCCCCCTGTGTGCGATCGGTTATTTTTTCCTGGAAAGCTGCCTCCGAATGCCCGACGATGCAACTGTTGTTAGAAATTGTTGGACGTCATCTTTTTCTCGGGGCGTGTGTGTGTCTTGCTTTTTCCTGATTTGCTTGCTGCCCCCTTGTGGTTGTAGCTGTTACGCAGGCAGCCTACGAAACTCGACGTTGCTTGTCTGGTCGCCCATGCTCATCTTAGTAACTCGTCGTACAGGTAGATGCATGAGGCGTCCCTGCATGATGAATATTGATGGTGGTGTGGCATTCTGTTGTTGTCTCATTTTGGTATGGATGACCCGCGAGGCACCGCGGTCACACTGAATTGATCGATAATGTCGGAATTATTTTTTCAGCCCATACAGCAGTTTTAGGCTGAGGTATTTGCTCTGAAGTCAGGGAGGTTTGGCGTAGGAAGCTGCGCCCCTTTTTTCTTTTCTGATGGATGGCTACCGGTGTCTGCCATTGTAGCAGTACCAACAAGTGGGTTGATGAGCTGTTATTGGTCGAGATACTGCTTGATCTTTCACTGATGCACAGGTCGAGGGGGGCAC